ATTGACGGTAATTTTTTATTTTGAAATAAACGTTGCGCCACACTATAAGATTTTCTTCTGTGTCGTGGGTGCATTTACAAACATACAAGTTCACATACAAATGACACCCAGAGCCGAAAAAACAATTTATGGATCACACAAAGAGTTGTACCATGCGGGAATCGAACCCGTGAAAACGCGGCAGCCAGTTGCCCGGCCACCGGCCAGTCTTATAGATATATTCTTATAGATCAACTTTACAACAAAAATCTACTAGGCAACAATAAATTATTAAATCCACGAACCTCCACTCAATGCTTATGGAGAAGTAGGTCCAAGACAACGGGATTTGACAATATCGGATATCCGGCCACACCGGTCATTGCAGTCATAGTCTCACTTACTATTCCTGTCATACATCTGTCGTATATATGTTTGTTTATGAAACACATTTATATTTATAGCCTACAGACTATCAGTCACGTAAACTTAATGTTTCATTTAATTATTAAACCTACTTCGACATTGGAAATAACGTTAGATAAACAGTTACTTAGTTATGTTATTGTATGACATCTGTGAAGCCCCTTGTCTATTATGTATGAGTGTTGCCATGTTTTAAATGGAGAAAGTAATTATTAATTTTTATTTTGCTACGATTTTTACTAAAGCTTTACTCAGTAGGTATATTCACGTGAGTAACCCGCGATTTTTAGGTTAATTTAGTTAATAATGCTTTACGTTAAAATAACATATAACATCATACATCACATTTTTTTCCCGAAGGGGCCTATCCCTGCACATACGGCATTTAATGCCACTGTACAATGCAACACCCACTTTTCACTATTTATGTTATGAGTCCCATGTAATAGGGGGTTAGCCTATTATCATATACCGGGCACAATTCCAGACTCCGTGCTACTACTAAGCATATTGAAAAATACCTTATAATACTTTTCCCGACGCGAATCGAACCCGAGACTTCTAGCCCAGCAGGCGCACTTGCGACCGATCAGCCAACGAGGCAGTCTTAGTGCTTCTAAATCATTTAGAGTAGGCACCTCTAGCTAGTTTAAAATCTTTCTATCAGAGTTTAAATAAGGTACAGATTTCTGTTGATGTAATTTACCTGTGGTTAAGGTTATGAGTTCAAGCCGTTATAATGAAATAGGTAATTCATAATAATATGTGTAGGTATATTATTAACATTAACATTAACAATAAGTTTGTTTTTAACCAAAATGACAAACCATATTTTCCAATGTAAGTTGTTGAGTTTATTGAACTCCGAGTAAGAACCTATAAAATAAACTAAAAAAGGCAATACATGGCAATATACACTGAAAGTGGGCGGCCAGATAGTGATATTCGAGAAAATTTACAAATTTCTGCAACTGCTAACAACACCATAGTCATGCGACTAATTTTAATGTCTTGTCATATTTTTTTTCTGGCAATTAATTGGTATAGCGTTCACCGTTACATTTAAAAAATGGATCCACGAATGGATTATAGTGTTAACTGTTTAAAAAATAATTTTCTAAGGTTTGTTCTTTCGTTTAAAGATAAGTGTTTGATCATATGGCGAACTGATGATTAGATATATAACATCACGGTGAGCCTATTGTTATATAGGTACCGGGCACAATTCCAGGCACCGTGCTAATACTGATATTTATTTTTTAAAACTCATTATACTTTGCTCGACTCGGCAATCCAACCGGAGACCCTTTGCCCGGCAATCGCGCTTGGGACCACTCGGCAACCGTCGCAGTGATGATAGATAATTATTAGATATTTCATTTTAAATGAGACTTGAATTTGTGGACGGCAACTTCAAACAAATATGTTTTAATTATAACACTTATCTAAGAAAGTGTTTACTTTAGTACAGTTCTGTTTATTGGGGAATTACATGTTAGGGTATAGGATTTTCATTTAAAAATTCCCGTTAGTTCATAATATAAGTATCACTTCATGCTGAAGCCACAAGAAACGAGCTTTAATTATGTAGATATGTGAAATGTGAGTAAGTCACTCGACTACCTAGACAATAATAGACGTCCCTACCTAATAATACTAGACTTCCATAATATGTTAAATTAACAAAAGGTTTATTGACAGTTTTTTGTGGGGAGAAAATCATCCAATGGCTTCTCCCTACCCGGGTGAGGCGAGAGTGTCAGACTGTTCTTGACTAAAAACCACCCCGTTCCTGCTCCTGCTCTTCGAGCCGAAACCCCGGCAAGCTGCTAAGCGAGAGGGAGTGTCAGACTCTTACTGACTAAAATCCGTCCCGTTCCTATTCCTGCATTTCGAGCCGGAGCCCCGGCATCCCGTTAACCCCTCCGCGGCTCTGTATCGGCATCGCCGGACGCGCGAGGTCGCCGTCGCCGATCATATCCCTGAGGACAGGGCGGTGCTCAGACCACGCAGATGTGAAAGATGTCTTTGGGGTCAGCAGTGGCCACTTATAGACTGTTGATGGTGATGATGATGACTTAATATACCTACTTCTTTCGTGATCCAATGTCAGGTAGGTATTAATTACATCTAGTGAATAATATAACAGAGAAGATTTATAGTGATCGGGATCAGGGTGCTTACTCTTGAAATCAATCTCAATGTCAATGCAATTTCTCCTTGTGCCAATCAATATTAACTTACTGTATTACCTCTTGGGGTGGTACGGATAAGACTCTACTGCTTTCCACTGAAAGAGCCCAAAGAGCGATTCTCAAGGTGTCTACTGGCCGATCTTTTCTTTACCCCACTAACCTTCTATATAGTTCTTGTAAAGTACTAACAGTCCGGCAGCTTTTTATTATGAGCACTGTACTAAAACAGCATGCGGCTTTTCCATACAATCCTGGGATAACCGAAAAACGGCGAAGAGATATTGTTTGCCCAACCAAAAGTACAAAGCACGCTTTTATTACCAAATTTTTTGTATTTCTTGGACCACTCCTATACAATAGACTAAATGCAATGTTATGGATTTATCCCCATAGCATCCGTAACTGTAGGAAAATTCTAAAGGAAGCCCTTCAAGACATGTCCTATGAAGACACAGAGAAGTTATTAATAGTTCCTAAATAATACTTAAAGTAAGCTCCTAATCTCTTATTTATATACTACATACATACTCTTAAATACATATTAAGCATAGAATTTAAGTATTACTTTACATCAGTATGCATACATATAATTAAATATTGTCATAATTTACCCTAACTTATTAGCATTTAAGTACTAGTGATTATATAACATTGTTTACTACTATTACCTAACCTCGCCTGAAACACAGGATTTCCTAGTTCAGGCACCTTATATTGTGAACTTTATTTAACTTTAAGCAAAACTGTACATTTCTAGATCATTATGTTTGAAAATAATTTTTATTTATTTATTTATTTAATTTCAATCCAATAAAATTTCAATAATGATTCAATGTCAAAACTATACAACTACAATCGTAGCTATTGAAATAGCATTCAGAGTACGGAATATAAAGCCAAACTCAATACCATTTAGTTCATACAATATCCACGCAATACGGATGCAATGGGCGCTAGTGTTGCAACTCGAGAGTACGAAATTTCACAATACCAATGTCGAAGTGGATTCCAGAGTAAGGCCCCAGAAGTTATCAAGTTCCTACCTAGGCAGTTCGTGTAGGTAAATATAGGTAGGTAGGTACTTATTTATTATGCACTGCAACAATTTTCCGAGGGCCATACGCATGCGTACCAATCAATTAATAAGATATTCATCATATGACAATGTCGCAACGTTTACATCCATGTTTGATTGAATATTGATGATTACCCATCAGATTAGCTGTGTATACCGAGGTAGGGTTTATATATTTTTGTTAAGGCTATATAGATCATAATTCCTAAGTTATATCTCCTTATCTACGTAACTATTTCAAACACAGAATATCAAAAATAGAGTGCACGTCGAAACTCCCTTAAAGTGGGAGCTTTAAGAAAGGTCTTTAACGCATTTGAAACTTTTCTAGATTCACAGACTTGCAAATACAAAGTTGTATCCATGCTACATCTCTATCGAAGTAGGTAGGTAGGTATGTCTATCTACCTACTACGTGAAGCTTTGTCTTCAAATTATATGCAACTTGTAATTTATTGAACATTCATTACGTTGAAATCCTTCCTAGGTAGATATAAGTAAGACTCATCGATGTCTTCGATAGTGAGACTAATTTTTACACAGAACGCGTAAGTACCTAAGCAGGTACCTATTAATACATAGGTATAAGTGGTGTATGCAGTCTGTATTCGAGCTCGACATTTCGACGACCAAGCTGTTGTGTTAACATCGTCAATCATAAGTTCATAACCTTCGTAAAATCTATTCGATTCTCGTATCTTTCTCCTTTGTGTCTTTTTTTCAGTAATATCACAGAGTCTGGAATTTTGTACATCTCTAAGTAAATGGGTTTATGTTATAAGTACCTAGGTATCTGTTCGAGTTGAAAATATCCAACAGACGAAATAGCTAGCTACAAACAAGTAACGCTCATACGCTAAGTAAATGTAATGAGCTATGGGTATGTATGTATCATTCAATACCTAAGTGACGTGACAAAGTTTTTAATTATTAGACGTGAAAATCGCCAGGTGCGAGTAGGAGGGATTTCAGTGGCCCCCATTTGACCGGCGATTGCCATATTTGGCACGGCTCGCGTCTAAATATGGCTCTGGCACTGCCCACCGCCCCGCCGCTGCGCCCGAGCCGCTCCACTTCCGACTCTATTATTTCTATTTACGAAATAAACTCAAAATAAAAGCTCTATTTTAATACGGATTTCGGGCACTGAAATGTTCGCGGGTTCCCGGCGAACGTTCGCTTTTCCTACGGATGTGTCGGGTTACGGCCGCGCTTAGCGTTTCCGTCCCCCTCGAGAGATATTGCACGCGCCGCGCTAGACAGAGACAGCTAGAGGTTGAGGTGCGCGGGACGCAGTCGCGCGAAGTCAGTCGCGGTCCGAGCGGCCGACTCGTCAGTCCCGCCCTCGGTTCTTTCGCGTTTTCGATTCAAACTTAGTCTCCGTTCGTCGTTCGGACGGTGAGGTGTGCATAGCGCGTGTGCGCACTTGTTACTGTGGCGTACTGCGAGGTTATCATGGACGCGCCCGGCGGAGCGCGGGAGCCCCGCTTCGGGTCGCCGTATAGTATGGGAATCCTCGGCGAGATGCCGGACATGTACGGAGCTGGCCGGCCGCCCAGCGCGCTCGGCGGCGGCGGGCTGCGGCCCGGCATGCAGCCCTGTCCCATGCCGCGCGCCGGAGTCAAGCGGCCCTCGGACCAGTGCTACGACGAGAGAGCGCAGCAGGGGGTCGGCCTGGAGCACTGCCCCATGCCCGACATAGCAGACGACGGCTATGCTTCTCTTCAGCCCAAGAAGTCGCCACCTTCCAATGGCAAAAAGACCAAGGGTCGTGTAAAGATCAAAATGGAATACATTGACAACAAACTGCGACGGTACACGACATTCTCCAAACGGAAGACTGGGATTATGAAGAAGGTGGGTGGATGAGACCGGTTTTGGCAATATTCCATATGGGTTGTCAGGGAGCGCTGGCTGCTTGCACCCAGCATGCCTGTCAAAGTGCATAACAATGTATAAGTTCATGGCAATGAGAAGTGGATTGAGCTATATCTGTGCCCCTCGGCTGCCCAGCTGATGAGAAATAATTGTGTTAAGTATTTGTTATGTGCGGAGTTGTTTCAAGCCAAATTTAGTTTAACTTAAATCACTTGTTAGTTTCACTAGCTTCAAAATTAAACTTAAAATAAAGTTTCAGTAACTAAATCAAATTATTCGAATATCATGAAATTCTGATATTCTCAAGTAATGAAGTAACTCTTGTAAATATTAATATAACCAAGTCCCATGTTTACCTGTGCATTAGGATTTCCTTCACATTGCATTTTTTATGTTAATTGTTGCTAGAGAACTATAGTACAGTGTAAACTAAGTCAATTAGTAAATAGTCAAAGTAAAATTCAATGTGAAAATACAAAAATCAATAAAATGGTGATAATCTTAGTGGAAGTAAACAGTGAGATGTAAAAGTTCAATTAATATCTTTATAGACAACCCAAAGTAGCTTGAATTCCATTAAATTTCTAAATAATTATAAAAACTAAACCTAAATTAAAAGTATACTGCAAAATTATTGAATGAAATAAGCTAAAATCATAAAATTCTCTGTGTTTTGGGCCAAGAGGTTATAATTTTTCCGACACTTAAAACCTATGGAATATTGCTGAAAACGTGTCCAGATACATTTTTTCTGTCAATATGTTAGAATTTCTCATTCGTCGAAGCCGTAAAACCGTGTTTTATGTTTATTTACAGTGTTTTTGTGAACATTTGTGATGAAAGTTTTGACAGATGTCAGATGTTACAAGGTTATGTTTCGTGAGTATTTTATAGTTATTAGCGAGTTTATTGTTTTCATACAACGTACTATTAAATATATTACAACATAAACCATAACACACATGTTATTGTATGTCATAAAACGAATATATTTTAGTTCAACAATCTGTAAATGCAATGTAAATAGACGGCAGCTGTCAATGCTGTCATAATTTATACACGTTTGTCCAAGAGATGGCGCCACTAGTCGCATTTTACGCACTTCAATTTATGTTTATTTGACGGTCTGAAGGCTATGGTTTATTATTTTTGGTGCTTGTGAGATTAATTTAGTACAAAACGGTATAGTTATTTTTAAAGCATAATAACGTAGTGTTAAGAAATCATAAGTGGTTTCGTCTATATGAATATCAACAATCATCTTCACTGAAATTAATACCTAGTTAGGTAGTTACTTTTTTTTACTTTGCCCCACACTTGATTAAGTAATCCGTAATTAGTTAAATAAAATGCATTTCAGATGATCTGTTACTAATTCATAACTATTTAAATAGTCGATAACTATGGGTTACTATGAATTTTTGATATCGGAATTTAAGCGTTTCTACAATTTTTAATTTTCATAAAAAAGAAACAATTTTATTACTTTTATTTCCATTCTTTGAAGAAAATATAAATAATAATAAATATTTATTGGTTGATAACTGTAAATAATTTTCAAACAGCTATCCTCGAACTTATTGAGTGGTGTTGGACTTCAGTGTCCTGCCAATCGTAACTATATCGTATCATTGTATCATTGTATCGTATCGTATCATTGTATCGTATCATATATAGTCGTTATCATTGTACTATTTCTATGAATATTTTCCATCTCGATTAGGGTTGGTTACAATATCGCGACCTATTGCAGACTCCCTGCGGAGTCCCGCATTCTGCCTGGACTACTTCTATACATTTCGCGTTTATTACTTCGTGTTCCAAAAGTAAAAATGTGGAACGCAATGAACAGCGCTTTATTTTGCGTCAATATTGAGCGCCTTGCAAAATGTACTGACTTCTGACCTATATTTTTTATTCGCGTACTTAATTATTTGCGTACTTTTGATTTTATCGACCTAAAATGTTATTTATTTAGGAACTATAACTACTTGATGTGTAATAATATTTTTGATTCGATAGTTCAATAAGTTAATCCGTTACAGTCGATTTCAATAAAGTCGATCTTAACTAATTTAAAGTCTCAGGGATCGATATCGGTATTTGACAGCAAGTTCCTAACCGCTTATGTCAAAAAACATTCTTAATCCAAGGATTTTAGCTAATTGACATCCATTTCGGTTATTAAATATGGCTGTTCAATAAAGTAACTCCATTAATCATGAGAAACTTAGTTGACAATTATAGTAGTTTTCTAAAATATATGCGACAGTATCTTTGGGAAACAACAAAAAAATCACGTTTATTTACCTTAGGGAAATTAGGCAGCGGCATGATCACTAATCGATTTTGACAATTAACGAAAAATTTAGTGTAAGGTGATCATAATCTGATCGGAATACTTAGTTCTGATTGCAACCCAAATAAATTAGGATAATAGTTGTTTACTATCTGTAAATAGTAGGTAATCGAGAAATCGGGAACGTAATCAATTTGACAGATAAGTAAAACACTGTTCTTAATTCATTATTTTTTGCCTGTTTTTACTATTGGTATCACTTATACATTAACTTATAAAAGAAAATAAAAAATTTGTATGTTACAAAAACTTCAAAACAAGTTTTTTTTTTAATTAAATAATAGCCGCGTCTTGATCCAGAAACAAATTAAAAAGCTATTTAAAATTGTGTACAGATTAAAAATATTAAAGGATTTCATTCGATTTTTAAATAAGTACTATATTAACCAGCCAGTACTGGGAAGGAATCCTATCTTGTTTATCTTGTCTACGCGTTACGAATATAAAGTACGGAATTGATCAATTAGTATAATTAGCGCGCATAGGAGGAATATAAATGATACCCTAGGCACCCTAGATGTGCTTTGTGAAAAAATCTTATGTATGTACCTAGAACAAAGTTTTCAACGACATTGTGAACTGTGATATGTTTACAAACATATTACAACTAAGTTCTCTTTTTCTTCGAGCTCAGAAAAGGATTGCATAAAAGAAGGAAGATAGTTTATTTTCTTATTGTATTAGTTCTTGGTATTACTTATATCTTTTCTCCAATGTTCGTTTGGTGTTTGACAATGAAGTCTGTCCTCTGTTACAAAAAAAAAAACTAATCGTGAAATTGCTCTGTTAACCGTTTAAAGTTTATTTTGGCATGGTTACCAAAAACAAATTGGGAAAAGGTTAAAAAAATGCAGTTATTTTTTTGCGGACGGACATAAATAGAAGCTAAACATTATTTCTGTAATAAAAAACAAACTAACTAGCTAAGTCACCAATGTATATATAAGTACCAAGTTATTTCCTATATTCCTCGTCGAAATACCGATCGGTTGCTTCATTAACCGCGAAGACATTGTCAATCTATGCGTGTACAAACGTCTCACCGATTCGAGTAGTGATGGCCGTCAAAATCCACCATTGAAACCGATGCAAATGGTGAGCGATGGCGAAGGCATGCGCAAGCGCCGGGAACGGGATTAGCTTTATTTATAAAGTCGTTAGGGAAAGAAAATTCTTCAATTTATTGGTAATTTTTTTCTGTTTTTTTAGTGATTCTAAATGGAGAAACGTTCAATTATAACTGTAATTTTTATCAATGTTTTGAATTAAATAAATTCGCCTAGTTAGGTACTTTAGGTTTTAAATACCTAAGTCTTGTCTCATTCCGGTTATTTTTGACACGTTCTTAATTATTGTTGATTATAGCATTTCACTGTTACAGTCACACATTGTCCAAATACAAAAACTAATTGTTGTTATGTAAGAATATTTATTTGAACTGAAATCTATCGTCATGTTTTTATTTTAACGCTATTATAATACTATTCAAATAATAAATAACTAATAAACCAGTAACAGATTAGTGAACAATCCTTAGATTGAAATCTTGGAAACGTGTAAAAAATGTCTCAGTATTAAGGCTGTGCTGAATCGCCTCAATCTTGCGCCACATCAGGGTCGCGCACGCAAGCGGTCCTGTCGCGCAGCGGGTATCAAAGTCGCCGGCGTGCCCTGTTGTTACTTGTTAGGCGTGCGCCCGCGCATCCGCCCTCGTTATGCGATGTTATGCCCCTTAAAACGTGCAGCCTTACTTGCCCTTGCAATTAAACGTGCTTTACTGAATGACAGCGCTTCAAGTTAACGTATATGAGCCTTAGGAACTAATGCGTTGTATTTATGAATTATTGTTTGATTGACGTTTGATGAATGCGATTTTAGATGACTGTGTTGTGACAAAGTACTTCAACATTGTTTAACTTAGCATTAACATTATTCTATTGACAGTCTCGTAACTTCTAGTTTTGATATCCCGCAAAAATTATTACTTAATACCCAATGGGGTCTTACGACAGCAACAACCAATGTGTACATGATCTTAAGCTAATCAATGTATAAGCCCGCTCATCAATTCGGTGCACCTATCACCTCTTGCAACCGGGACTTTAATTGCGACGCCCCAGGGGCCGTCAGACCGACACGACGGCATTTTGTTGTCGGCATGCCGTTGTATTGTGCCGACTTTGTCATGAAAATTGCCGACAATATGTTGTTTAGAATCTAACCGCTCCAACCGACCAGCAACTCGCTGTTATTGTTAAAAGCATCACAGTGTTCAACGTAATCCATAAAGTAAACATTGACTTATTTCTACTCCGTTTAAATAGTGCTCACGTAATTTCTGTTCGCTCTAATGGAAACTTTTATCAATAAATAAGATAAAACCTGATTATAAAAAGTAAGACGTCCCTCCATAAAGCTATTTGACAACACAAACAAAACAACGAGTATCGGTTTTCAACAAGGATGATATTGCAGTGCATTTATAAATCAAAACGTGCTCCTCTAGAAATGATAATAGCCCTCATTGTTTAGCGCGATCCTCCAAAGCAAGAATAAATTATACAGTCCGATATAGGCGTTCCGATATAGTCCTTAAAGAGGACATTTTAATAAATTTAAA